GCCTATATATATATATATATATATATATATATATATATATATATATATATATATATATATATATATATATATATATATATATATATATAGGCCGGTTCCCGTGAGAATGCACCTTGTGGTAGGATGACATGTTTCAGTCAGATGATGCTGGAGCTCACCACTGATCACTGCAAAACTCACGACTGTTCACTGCAAAGCTCACCATGATTTTCCAACACTTTACTTTTTTTTTCAAAATTTGATGGTTAAATGATTACAAAGCCCAACAACAAAGCTCACTCACTCTCATTGCAAAGCTCACCGAATATGTGCACAAAGCTCACCACACTTTAAAGTTCAAAATGATTTTTTTAAAAAAACAAAGGGCGGTGGTGCTGACTTCTAACCGCTGTAGACTACCGCCATGAACCGGTGGTTGATTGGTGGTGCAATTTTATTAGCTTTTTTTTTAAAAAAAAAGTGGTGAGCTTTGCATTGTTCCTTAGTGAGCTTTCCATTGTCAGTTGGTGAGCTTTGCATTTACAGTTGGTGAGCTTTACACTTTGACCGCCCATGACCAATGGCCACCACCGATGACCCCCACTGTTGCCATGGACCGGTGGTTGAGCGGTGGTTGACTGGTGGTTGAATGGTAGTGCTATTTTTTTAAACTATTTTTATTTTAAAAAAAGTGGTGAGCTTTGCATTGACAGTTGGTGAGCTTTGCATTGGCAGTAAGTGAGCTTTGCATTGGCAGTTGGTGAGCTTTCCATTGACAGTGTTGTGTGTTGTGTCATCTGATTGAAGCATGTCATCTTACCATAAGGTGTCATCTCACTGGAGTCAATCCCATATATATATATATATATATATATATATATATATATATATATATATATATATATAGTCCTCCATGAAAGAAATAAGAATGAATGAGATCTCTTGATCTCAACAAATCAACGGACGAATTCCTCTTAAAAAAATGACGGCACCCGTAGCTTTTATATGGTAATGAATCAATGCATTAATTGTAAACTTAAAATCATAGTGTAATGAGGGCATTATTGTAAAGTATTTTTGCATTTAAATTGGAAAAGAATTGACGCAAGTATCCAATCCCAAATTTAGTGCACTTACCATTGAATATTTTTTGACTTTTTTAATGTTTTTTAATAAATGTTTTCTCTTTTTTTTGACGGGTTTTCTAGTTTTTTTATTTTATGTCCTATTTTTATTCAATAAAAATCAATAATGAATAGTTTTTGCAATTGCACTATTTGTATAATATATTTCTCATTTGCATTATGTTAACGCATTTCTCAGGGTGCCAGCGATTTGTTTATTTATTTTTATATTAAAAATTACGTAAATAAGAATTTTACTCCAAAAGTCTATAATGTTTTTCGTTTTCTAAATACTATTCAATATTCTATTTTTTCTTTTTAACATATTCAATTTTTTATGAGTAATCATGCCATTGTGGTGCACTTAATAGTGGTTTTAGTGATTTAGAACACACAATTAAATTTTTTATCATGTGGTAATTTTTTATTTGGATGCACCATTCTCATATATAAGTGCAACACGTGTGAATAATTATGCTTATATGCATCAGGAGTTTGTGGTATGCAACAGGAATTGTGTTAAGTAATACTAAAAGTTAATTTATTTGTATGCTTCATGCTCATCTATAACTGTAACAAAATATGTTGCATGTGCAATAAATAGCTAATTGGAGTATAAGGTTGCATTCAATCTTCATTTTTGAAGGAGGTGAAGTTATATTTGTCATTTTCAAGATTTGCCAAGTATTTCCAAACCAGCCTTTGATATTTGTTAACTATTTATATTGCATCTATTATAAGTAAGCTACATCGATCTACCTTTATACTCAACTACTCCTGTGAATATTTTCCTCTTACACAATATTTATTTTTGTGGCATATTCACAATCTCTGTCATCCATTATATAATTTAATAAAAAACACATGGCATTTGCATATTCTCATGGTATCAAAAGGCTCGCATATATGTAGCTATGAAGAAGGTGACTTGGTGTGTTGCATAAGTGCACTATATTTATTCCATTACAACATTCAGTATGTTGCATATCATGCATGTTAAACATCTAGATCTTTGTTGTTGCATAAACAAGATAAAAACATCTAAATTGGAAATAAACAAATGCTAAATCTAGCACGTATCTTCAATGTTTCATATGAAAAAATCAATACTAACATTGGGTATAATTTAATTTTAAAATGTATAAAAATTCAACAACAATTAGCAATTATTTAAAATAAAATAGCATAAGTGCATGCGTTGAAAATAAAAAAAACTTGCATAAATAACCACACTATGTATAATGCATATTCACATTCTGTGTGCACACTGTTCAATATGTTACATTGCATCTTATATTCTCTGTGATGCATATCAAGAGCATGAGCATATTATACATTTTTATTGACCGATTCAGGTGAAATAAAAAGTGAAAAAGTAAAATTTAAAATAGAATTGAATGCACTTTATAGCTTAAAAGTATCAAAATTATGTGTTAGTTGCTACTGCATCCACATCATATTATACATTTTTTACTGACCGATTCAGGTGAAATAAAAAGAGCAAAAGTAAAATTTAAAATAGAATTGAACACACTTTATAGCTTAAAAGTATCAAAATTATGTGTTAGTTACTAATGCATCCACATCCTTAGTAGATGTGCACATACCGAAAACAAATTCATTAAAATAAAAACATAATTAAAAAATAACAAAGAAACAAACACAGTGGATAAAGAGGGATCTCAACAAACAAAGTTAATAAAGATTGAAATATATTTTTTTAAACAAATACAGTACCAAAAATCATTGTTTAAGGCAATTTATTTAAGGTGGAATACTTTAATGTATAATTCAAACTAAAAAAATTGATAAAATAATAATAAAAATGCTCTGTACATTTACATCTCACCACCGTCTATATACCCCAAACTACTACAGGTTGGGCCAATACTATTTCGAGAACAGCTTCGCGGAGATAATCCGGTTGCTCCGACACTTCCATCTGTACACAACGTTCAGCGCTTTCTTTCGAGTCTTGGAAACTATCAAATCGTTGTTGAACCTCTTTGTCTCCGTCCTCAGACAGCAAGAAACTGCACAAAAAAACATGAGAATCGGAGAAATTAAACAAACGGTCACAGAGAAGATGAAAAATTTTGGAAAAGAATAATGGAAAATGGAAATGTTTGCTAATCATGCGTATGGAGTGGCATAATTAAAGAAATTTGGGAAGGGAAAGCCAATTACCATAGTGCCCTTCAAAAATATTATAAAAATACTTTGAGATGGGTGAGATCGGACGACTCATAATTATTCTCATTTCTTTCATTAGATTGTATTCTCACCTGAACCAATATATATATATATATATATATATATATATATATATATATATATATATATATATATATATATAGACACACATATGAACTAATTATTCAAATACTTATTTCATAAAAAAATAATCCTAAAATAAAAAATATTATTACATTATAATATGAATGAATATTCTAATATATGAATTAACTAATTTTATTTTATTAAAAAATAATCATAAATTAAAATATAATGATTATATTATAATATGAATTATCATTACAATTTTCAAACGTTATTATAAAGTCAAATCAAATTATTGATTTGAATTTTAAATCAAATCATATTTAATCAGATCAGATCAGACAAGAACAGATAAGATCCAATCATATCAAACCATATCAGATCCAATCAGATCAGATCTAATTTGATCAGATCCAATCAGATCACAATTGGGGTCTAAAAATCCAAAGCATTAAACATAAGTTACATCTTAGATGGCAAGATTACAACTCTTAAGTTTTGTAGAATAGACCGACTATCAAAAAATAGTTTGTGTTAAAATCAATTTCTAGAGAGCAAAATGTCCCACCATATCAATTCATAATCTCTGCCGCCAAGTACTTCATCTCTGGTCATATATTTTGGTTTATTAATGCAATAATCATAAGCTTTTTAAATGTTAGATACACAATACTTTAAAAAGTGCAATAATGAACAAAAAAGAGTGCTTAAGGAATTTCCACAAAACACGCTTTAAAATACCAAGTGGGAGATTGGGGAACCTGCTATAGAGAAAAATATGGACTTTCAATGCATAAATTTGCTTTAAGAGTGAATCCAAACCATAATTTCATACTAATTCTTGTAGATATCCCCATCGAAGGAATGTGAAGAATTAATTTTTTAACTTCGTGTAAATAAAAAAATGTAACATCAAATTAAGATAATATTTCTAACTAACCTCAGAACCTATTTTCAAAAATAAATGAAGAACATGAGCTATCAAACCAGTACGGTCTTTCACTCTTGTTAAATATACACTCCGCATGTAGCTTAAAATGTTAATTACGACAGCTTAAAGTTGTTGATATACGGAGTACTCCGTATTATTTAACAACATTGTAGTGTATTCTTAAATCACTTTGAATAACCTCACAAACAAGATTGGATAGCAGAGTGTACCTCAAGATAGTATGTTGACAATTCCACAGTATCCATATAATTATATGGATACTGTGGAATTGTCAACATATACTATCTATCTTGTTTGTGAGGTTATTCAAAGTGAGCCTCTGCTAATCTGCTAATTTGCTATACTCCCAATTTAACAAAAAAAGAGTTGGTCCTGCGCATTGGAAGCCAAGTAGAAACCATAGCAGCTCACATATTGTATACAAACCTGCACCAACTGGTTAGAACCATGGCAGTCATCATCTTATTTTCCCATCACCAAATCCAAAGTATTAAAGATAAAGTCATCAAATTAAATTAACCACAAGAAGCTGAAACTCATATTCCAAACATAGAAAAATTAACAACAAGAAGCTGTTGCTGAATGCCTGAATCTGGAGCAGTTACCACAGCCTAATATGTTGTTGCTTCTTAAAAGTGTGAAGTGACATTCATCTTTCATCTTTGCATGTATTGGATGGTCTTCCTAAAGGATTTGTGTGCCCTCCATTGAGCTTGTAGGCCTTGTAGTGGAATTCAACTGGGTTGTTGTTGTTCATTTTTGATAACTTCCCTTTTATCCTCTGAATTCCACTTCTTAAATTGGTTATTACTAAACTTTGCAGAAATTAAGTCTTAAGAGATTATTCCTTCGTTCCAAATTTAGTTTAACAAAAAGCAAAAGTTGGGATGGATCAAATCCAGTGTGGCCTCTCACAATCAAAATTATAAAACATATTAGATTCAACACAAAAAAAATCATTTTACAGGATTAGAGATAATTACAGATCTTTTCAAGCCTAACATGTACACTATACCACTGACAAATGTGAAAAACTACATATTTAAAGTTTATACCTTCAAAAAAACCGTTGGACGCTTCTGGTTTTGGCTTCTTTTCTATTGCTCTTTGTTGCCAGATTGTAGCTAGTGGCAACTTCTTCATACTGTCGCCCTTCTTGTTGTTTCTCCATTATTGCTGCATTGGCCTGCTACTTCGAGCCTTAGAGATCCAAGGTCGGGGGCTGGGATTTCTCACCCTAGGCCCAACATCGTTCCATCTCGTCATTTTGCTCTCTATTCTTGTACTCGCTCCTGAAGAATGAAAAGACAAAAAAGAATGGATTTGTGATGTATTGTGAATCTCATAATATGATATACATGGTGTAATTGGGTAGATTAAAATGGGTTGGAGTTTTGGTTACTTATTAGCCAAAACTGTTATGTTTGAGGATATCAAATATCAACACTAATAACATTTTCATTATTCATTTGAAGCATCCAATCAAGAGCATGCTCGAATCCAGTTTCAAAACATATTCAATCGTTCAAACATGGCCAGATTATACACACAACCAACTAACAATTAAACATTAACTCATATGAATGTTAGAATGCCAAAATTCTATGACTCACACAGCCTAAAGTCCCCAAGTTTTTCTCCTTCTTGCAATCTTATTGTTAGAATGCCAAAAATGCTACACAATAGTAAAAAACTTTCACTATAAATCGAGGGAGGAAAGCAGATCAGGGACAACAAGTAAATTGAACTATAGCATAACATCTCTAGCAAAGTGAAAAGCTGCCTTGTACCATGTTATTTCTTGTGCAGTTAAGATTTAATAAATTAAATGAAAAGAATAAAAGAAAAGAATATTGGTGCAAAATAAGTAATTGATCTCACTAGCAACTGGGAAGAAACTGCAATGCACTGATGGAAATGGTAC